AGAGCACATTGTGAACACTTTGTGGTTCATTCCCCTTTTCCCTTTGCAGCACCTACAATTGTTTAGTACAGGAGTTGGAGGATAATGTCACTGCCTACTCCTTTTAGCATCTTTTTATGGACCTGCCAACATCTACAACTGAGGAACAACTTGGGAAAAAGGACAGGAAACCCACCAAAGGAGACCGGGTGGTAGTGCTACATCAGAACTACTGAACCACAGGGCACTTCACTAGACAGGAGGCCCTAAACGTTTTGAGAATGGGGAATCAAAACTGCCACGGATATAACATGAGGAGTAAGGGGGAACGGGAGACACAAACTACTGGGAGGAGGGTAGGCCTATATAGCCTTCCAGATTCTCAGTTGAGACAAATAACAGTCACTCCATCTCATTAAATATTGCAAAACAGTTGGGCGAGTAGAACTAGCTGTAGTTTTCCCTTGACTGTTTCCAGCAAAAAAAACAAAACCCAGGCTTTTCCCAGCTAACCGAATGAAGAAGTAGTAACTTGCCTACACAAGGGGCATGACCAAAACTAGCTACCACACGCTAGCAAGCCTTGTACGCATTCACCAATAAGGACAAATCCTAACTTGCTCTGGCGCTTCATCAGGGATTCATGGATTTAATATTATGGCTCCATTTAATCTTGTGCAAATACCATGTTCAAACAAACCCCTAGGGTATCTCCCATCTACACCACTAACCCTCCTTCTGGTCTCATTCCCACACATTGACTTCAGACTACCTGAAGCACTGTGAAGATTGAGGTGATAATGTTTTCCAGGGTGATCAGACGTGACACTGGAGGACGTAGACAGGCAAGTTCAAGAACTTCAAAGAAATAGGAAATACCTATTTTGACTACCAAAACATGAATAAGGCTGTGGTTTCATTCAGCAACAGCAGCTCTTAAAGAGCAAGCAAATTCTCATCTCCTCATTGCAGGGACAAAAACTCACAAGCTCCTTCCCCCCACTGTCCCTTGTGTTGTCCTAGGGTGCTTGTATGCTACTTTTTCTAAACAGATCATTTCTCCCCCACAGGTCATCATGTAGCCAAAAAAACCAAAAAGTATCAGCACAACACACCTGCAAAAATTAGCTGCCCAAGAGGGAGCTACATAAACCAACAATTACATTGGAAAAAAGAAAAAAAAGTTAATGGCAAAAACAAAATTTCAGTTCCTTTCTTACCCTGGGAAAGGGACAACTCCTCCCCCATCCCACATGCGATACCATTCGTATTTTATACACACACACACATTTTGTATTGACTATTAAATGGCCATTACATATGCATATTTCCACTGCCTACCTCTGCTAAGGCTCCGGGTAAACCAATGACGTGCCCCTCACACCATTCTCATTTCACTGCTGGCCACAGGACTCTGAAAGCCAGCAGTGAAAGAGAGCAGCAGCAGGCTACTGCTGCACTGCAAAGGAGTCAGTCTGCAGATCCAGTCTAACAAAGAGCTCTTCTGAGTTCTGCAGCAGTTTCTGACCTGTACTCACAAGAGCTAGAAACTGTTCTTTTAAAAAAATGAGTTGAAAAGTCTGTGGAAATCTAAGACTGCTAGCCACCCACCTCACAAATAAAGTTTCCTGCTGGCTAGTGGCCCAAAAGCAAGTAATATTCCTGCTAGGGGAATGGAAACTTGCACTGTAAATCAACAGATGTTAAGAAGAGCTTCAATGATTAACTCTGAACTTAATTTCTGTCTGCTCTTAAAAACCAGTTCCTTGATTATTCCATTCTTGTCCTCCGAATAGGAGTGATGATCAGCTTTGCAGCTCCTCAACTTTTCCAGCCAAGGCAAATAGGGGCTATTCAAGTTTCTGCCTTGCTCCTCCAGGCTCCCCACAGATGCTGGAATGTAAAGAACAGCTCTAGCACAATGTACTCCAGCTTTACTGCTGCTGCTGGGACTGGGAGCAGAGGCAATGCAGAACAGTTACAGGCAAACTTTGGGTGTTATCCAAGGGACACTTAAAATCTGCTCACTGTAAAACATCTTCCTCTCAAGATAACAAGGCTTCACTTTTGCCTTCACGACCAAAGAATAACTGACTTTGGACACTGAAAAGCCACCCCACCCGAACAAAATTAACGTTAAAAGGACACGATACTTTGATGGGTACAGAACATAGCAAGAAGCACTACCAAAAAGTATTTGTACTTGTTCAACACATTTTTCAAAAGGTAGTGATACTGCATGCAAGCCATATGTTTCCTCTTTTTCCCCTCATAGCACACACTAGCTAATGCTGGCCATCACTTTCCAGCTTTTCAAGCTTTCTGTGTAAATATCAGGTTGATTTCCAAGCTACTGAAAGGTGACTTGTAAAGGCAACAACAGCTTGCAGTCGCATTTTCCTCCTGACCTCAATACACATCAAGAAAAGCTGAAGTTTTAGGTTCTTCTGTAGCAGGAGGATGAAAGAAAGACTTAACACTTCAATAATTTCACACACCAAATAATAAATAGAACAAGTTTTATTTTAATTTCCTTTGAAAACTATGAATAGGTACAGAACTAGTCATATGTGACAGCAAAAATGGAAGCAAAAGAGACTGGGCTAATGGGGAAGTTGAGGTTGTTTTTATTCTGCTAGAAAGGTCTTGGTCTTTTGAGTAAATAGATGGTAGAAAATAGAAACTCTGAAAAAGAAAAAACCCTGTACACTGAGTTATACCATAAATTAATTTCCCAGTATTATTTACTAGCTTCTCTATAAGGCTAAAGAAATTAATGAACAAATTATTCAATGAACAACAAATGAGTTCTCACAAGCTTGATAAATTAAACTCCCCTTAAATATACACTGCACATTTCAATTGATGTAGCAAAAACAGTGCAAGCAACTGCAAGGAAAAATGCCTGTAGAATGAGGTATTTCAAGTAATCTTGAGTCCATTCCTAAAATGCACTTAACCAGGGAGCCATGGCAGACTACCTTGCATCATGCCCACAGTAAAAACAACCATTCATGCTTATAAGTAGCATAACGTTAACGTTAAGGTACAAAGACAAGCAAACCAAGATCCTGTGCTACAGCTTAAGGTATGCTGTGGAGGAAAAAAAGACACGAGCCTTTCCTTACAAGCCCCTTTAAGTCAATAGTGTGGACTGCCTCATGGAGACTCACGGTGGTCTTGAAAGTTACATCTTCAAATGACCCATCTGATTGTCTTCTCTTCCAGGCCAAAACACTTGAACCAATCCCCAGCAGCATATTAAGCCAAATGCAAGAAGCGTAAAACCACAAGTCATCCAGAGCAGGCTTATGAGAATTTTCCCAAGCCTGTCTTGGGAGGACAGATCAAACCTTTACTGAAAGGCACTGATCACGGTGTGCCCAGAAGCTAACAATGAAAACAGGCCCAGGATAAAAGTGTTAATGGCACAAAGAAGCTATAATAAGAAAGACTATTGCCACTCCCTGCTGCCTTCTACCCCAAAATTATCACGTAAGGCAGAAAGTAATCATCCAAAATCCTCTAGAACTGTTTCTGCTTGTAAGCTTTCAAATGTCTGAGGATGAGATGAAGAAGCATCTCAAGCGCTTGCCACTGCAAATGAGACCCATCACCATGCTGGCTGCTGTATTCCCATCCTCAGTGAGGAAGCTCCCCTCCATATTCACTAAAGCCACTCTTTAGCAGCGCACATAGTCTATATCAAAATAACGCCTCGCCAATCACTTTGTCTAGCCAGAACACCATAACGTACCTATTTCCACACTTCCTTATGACTTAGAACTCAGGTAGTTGTGATCTTCCTGCCAGCTTTCAGGTTGTGCTGTCCTGCTTACACACTCTGCAGTTATTCCCACGGGCACTTCCCCATTGGGCAACTGCTTCCACTGAGCAGCTTTCCTCCTGGTTTTGAACTGGGGGGGGGGGGGGG